GCTTGGACAGCGTACCCTATAACCTCTCTTTGTACAAAGTAATTGAAAACATATTAAAGTCACAGTAAGGGGAACAAAAACAGATATGCTTTGTATAACAGTCCCTGTCCTAAATCAAAAGAAGCAAGATAAAAATGGCCGTGAAATAGTGGTAATATATCAGAGCAGCAAAAAATAGTGGAAGAACAAGTGAGACCAACTATTCAGACATCACTGGCTTTTCTCATGTATATTTCTCTTTGTTACTGGCATATATGTCAACCGTTAAATTACTAGACCCAGTAAAATTAGAATAAATTAAAAATGATAACAGGCAGTTCACCATTTAGAGGTTTATCAAATCATGCCAAAATAGTTATCATCACTAATATAAGTACAGAACTCACCACTCTCTTATAATGTAAGCAATACACAGCACAAAATCCATCTCTACATTTCAAAAGCACTTGTCCAACTACCCATTCTGCCTCTGTCTGTTACACAGCTCAATTGGAGAGGTTAATGTCTCACACAGTATAATACAGCTATTGTTCAGGGTAGTATTGGGAATTTGAGACATATATTAAACTGACAGACAGGCTCCTGTAATTTAACCAACCATTTTGGCAGTGTTTGTAATTCTGATGTATTACTTTAGGGTTCACGTCATTATCAGTGAGGTGATGACATTAATTTGTCAACCCTCTGTAACCACGTCATTGCCCTTTTCAGCACTGTGGTAAGAACAGAGGTCACCTGGATAATAGAAACGCTCCAGGTTTTAAGAATTTTGGAACTTTCTCAAAAACATAAGCTGATGCACGGACTTGAATCCAGGTCTGGAGGCTGAAGGTCAGTCTCCCTGCTGACTGCAAGCTGCTGTCCAATAGGTACATTAGTCATAGCCTCCATCACCAGTAAATGAAAAAAAAAATCTCCAACACCACGAAGCGGCATTTCAACTGAAATTTAAGGTACATTCAGTGTACATTCATGAGTGAATAAATAATTGTTACTTTTTGTTTTCATGCTGTCAAATTATTGTACTTAGTTGGGGTATTTGCCTATGATGCACAAATACAGACACTATATTATCAGGCACTTTATTAGGTGCACTTGTTCAAATGTTTGTCAACACAAATATTTTGTGAACCAATAACATGTCTGCAACTCAGTGTAGTCATGTAGACACGGTCAAAATGACCGGATTATATCACACAATCATCTCTAATGTTAACAGAGAACGGTCCGAAAAAGAAAAACCATCCAGTGAATGGCAGCTCCTCTGGATGTTGGATGGATCTCTGAATTGTTGATGCAGGGGTTCACAGAAGTATAGCCAGACTGTTTCAAGGTGACAGGGAGGTACCAGAAACTTAAGCAACCACTTGCTACAACAAATGTAGAACATCTCTGAACACACAACTTGTCAAACCTTAAAGCTGATGGCTTACAGGAGTGGCTACAATTCACACAGATTCACCAAAACTGGACAACAGACAATTGGAAAAAAGCTGATGAGTCTTTTTAAAGGCTGTAACATTTATATGGTAGGTACTACTTTCACTGTACTCAAATTGCCTCTACAGTTACCAGGGCTCAGTCTAATAGAGCACCTTTGGGATGTGGTGGCATCACAATTATGTAGATGACAAATATGCAGTAATTGTGTAATGCTATCATTTCAACAAGGACCAAAATCTCCGAGCAATGTTTCCACCACTTTGTTGAATCCATCCAATGAAGAGTTAAGACAATTCTGTTGTTTTTTCAAGTCTATTTTAACCCGGTTTAAATGTAAGTTTTCTTGCACTTAGCTGGAGAAATACTATAAAAATGTAGCTAAAAAAAACTAACTGAAAAAGCTTGCATTGACCTATCCAATAATTAATTCAACAGGTTCGACATTGCAACAGTCATAATGTTATTATGCTTTGCAATGTGGGTAAAAAAGGGGGAAAAAGATTCCTTTGTTTCTGGAGCTAAGAGTAGCCAATAACATTGGCTAACTTCTTGGGTAATGCTAGCTTAAAACAACATGGCTCAGCCTGTCCAGTCAAATCCCTTAGCCCAGGGGTCTGCAACCTTTAACACCCAAAGAGCCATTTGGACCCGGTTTCCACGCAGAAGAAAACACTGGGAGCCCCAAAAAATTTTTGACGTCTAAAATGAAGATAACACTAAAAATTAAAAAAAAGAAAAAAAAAAAGAAGGAAATAAAGACAGCGAGGGAAAAATTCACATCAAAGACATTTGAATAAATAACAAGTGAGAGAAAAAAAATGAAGACAACACTGTATATATTGTTTTTACCTTTATGTTTTGTGTGAACAACTAAAGTGTGTTGCTTATTAAATCCATGAAGTGCTAAGGAGAAAATTATATTTTATTTATGTAATTAACACATTTTGAACTCTTAAAGAAATATAACAAAAGGAAAGACACCCAGCTGAACTAAAATGATCCATGTAGCAAACAAAAACTGTTGTGAGCCGCCCACCTTATATCGCCTTTGGGCTTTTGGAGCCTTGACCTGACTTTTAAAAAGTAATTGGAAAAGAAGCACTATGCTGCTAAAAAATGAAAAATAGATATTTGCAAAATTCTGCCTAAATATGTATTTTACCTGGTTAATGTGTGTGGCGGGGCGTGGTCTGCAGCTCCGCTGCATGGGAGTCGGACGCACCTGAGCGGCACCCGCAATCACGCCTCGCCGCCTTAAAGTCTGTGCTCTCTCTGCTGTTGTGTTGTCGGGCTGTGAGCTGAAAAACTATAGCCGGCTGTATGCGTGCAGCAACCGTGTATGAAAAGTGGTCAATAAAGAGATGCTGAAAAGCAGCGGGTCTGCCGTGATATGTTTTCAATGGAACTTCTGCTCCTGAACCTCTGCGCACAGCGTCTGCTGTACGAAGTCACTTTCATCTTTACGCAGGACTGTAAGCTATCATCTATGAGGCGTGAGCGGTGTTTGTTTTTAACATAGTTCACGGTGGAGAACAGCTGCTGACATAATGTGGATCCGAAGATCCATAATTGGCCTATCTGGGGTTGAAAGTCTCGATAAATGCACGGCGTTTCGGCGGGTATACCGGCTTCCGCGAGTGTGACGCTTATTTTGAGCGATGAAAAATTAAAAAAAATACAATTTTCTTTTTATATTTCAATATCAAAGGATGCAATGTTATCGTAAAATTAATTAACTAAACATTTGTCATACCATCATCACCCCCCCCCCCCAACAAATGCCAAATTATTCCCCAAAATAGAACCAGGGGAATTAAGATGTGGCTGAACTAATTTGTTCTGAGGAGAGTTGTCAGTGACTACTTGTTTAACTCTGATTATTAGAATATGAATTGCTATAGAAATTCTCTGGATTGTTTTCTGTTTGTAAGCAGCATTGTGTTACTGTATATATACACACACATACACTCAACAAAAATATAAACGCAACACCTTTGTTACTGCTCCCATTCCCCATGGGATGGACGCAGAGACCTAAAATTCATTCCAGATACACAATATGACCATCCCTCCCAAACAGTGGTCACAAATCAGTCCAAATGTGTGGTAGTGGGCACATCTGCTATATTGAGATAATCCATCCCACCTCACAGGTGTGCCACATCAGGATGCTGATCTGACATCATGAGTAGTGCACAGGTGTACCTCAGACTGCCCACAACAAAAGGCCACCCTGGAATGTGCAGTTTTTTGCGCTATTGGGGGTCTGGGGACCCAGAACCGGTCAGTATCTGGTGTGACCACCATTTGCCTCAGTGCAACACATTGTCGCATGGAGTCTATCAGATTGTCAATTGTGGCCTGTGGAATGTTGGTCCACTCCACTTCAATGGCTGTGCGAGGTTGTTGGATATTCGTGGGAACTGGTACACGCTGTCGTATACGCCGGTCAAGCACATCCCGAACATGCTCAATGGGTGACATGTCCGGTGAGTATGCTGGCCATGCAAGAACTGGGACATTCTCAGCTGCCATCTGCCCTGAACAATGTGAACCATGATTCATCCGTGAAGCGCACACCTCTCCAACGTGCCAGACACCATCGAATGTGAGCATTTGCCCACACAAGTCTGTTACGGCGACGAGCTGGAGTCAGGTCAAGACCCCGATGAGGACGACGGGCATGCAGTTGAGCGTCCCTGAGACGGTTTCTGACAGTTTGTGCAGAAATTGTTTGGTTGTGCAAACCAATTGTTCCAGCAGCTGTCTGGGTGGCTGGTCTCAGACGATCTTGGAGGTGAACCTGCTGGATGTGGAGGTCCTGGGCTGGTGTGGTTACACGAGGTCTGCGGTTGTGAGGCCGGTTGGATGTGCTGCCATATTCTCGGAAACGCCTGTGGAGACGGCTTATGGTTGAGAAATGAACATTCAATGCACGGGCGACAGATCTGGTTGACATTCCTGCTGTCAGCATGCCAATTGCACGCTCCCTCATTGCTTGTGGCATCTGTGGCATTTTGCTGTGAGACAAAACTGCACATTCCAGGGTGGCCTTTTGTTGTGGGCAGTCTGAGGTACACCTGTGCACTACTCATGATGTCAGATCAGCATCCTGATGTGGCACACCTGTGAGGTGGGATGGATTATCTCAATATAGCAGATGTGCCCACTACCACACATTTGGACTGATTTGTGACCACTGTTTGGGAGGGATGGTTATATTGTGTATCTGGAATGAATTTTAGGTCTCTACGTCCATCCCATGGGGAATGGGAGCAGTAACAAAGGTGTTGCGTTTATATTTTTGTTGAGTGTACATACATATAATATTACATTTAAACCAGAAAGTGGCAGGGCTGTGGATATTATTAATGCTTTTAAACAAATGTGTTTAGTTTGTTTACTTTATATAAATCCAAATATTAATTTTGAACTATAAGATATGTGTTTCTCATGATGCAGTATAAAGTGGTGATGGTGGAGTTGACCATCTGACCATCTGGTCATTCACTCACAAATGAACCAAGATGAAATAATCAACAGAGGAAACAGCAATCTTTATGATTTATTCAATTAAAAAATAAAATAAAAGCGAGTCTTTTTAACAGCAGTAAACAGATTACAGACACAGACATATACAAAAAATACATTCATTTTTATGTCAGCTTTGCTCCGTACCGTTGTCCCAAGTAACCAATAGGTAAACTACTGTGGTGTTTCTGTGCTAATGAAGGTTGATTTTTCCACATAGTCCTTCAGTTTGTTTGCAGGCAAGTGTCACAACAACCTTGGTTCTAGTGGAGAGACAAGCGTCTCCTGAACATACCACGGATGATTAAAAACACTGTTGGAGCTGCAACCACAGCAAGAGCAGTGCAGAACTGTGGGAAATAAAAGGAACAGGAACACAAAATTCAGATTGAAGCAGTATTAATATTAATTTGATAGATAAATATTATACTACACCACATTACCTAATAGATTTAGATTTTAATATTTTCAAGTTTTAAAATTTGATGACTTCTTATCAGTGTGAATGTCATTATATTGTATAATGATAGAAACATGTTACAGGCTACACAAAGAATGATAATTTAAAGACACTGAGTACTTCAGTTATGACATATTGTGTTTGAACCTAATTTTGGGTTGTTAAATCTTATGTTGGTCACTGATTTGTTGTAGATATGGATATTACACTTACCTTAATAGCAGCGCTATAGTGCTTTTGAAATGTCTGTACGTATACACTGAAGAGGGCAAGGCTGCAAGGAAAGAATGAGTCTGCATCTTCCGAGTCTCTGCATCTTTTGGAAAGAAATATCGATTTTTTTGTTGCATATACGTACGTGCAGTAAGCTGCATTTTTAATACAGACAGTATTCAAACAAACCTTTTGTACAGGGCATTTAGAAGCAATTCCTTGTCTGCCAGGTATAACTCTGAGATGCCAAGTTTAATCAGTATAGACAGTGGCAGCTTGTAACCTTCTTCACCAAGGACACCTAAATTATACCATCCCTGTGGAAAATGACAGGTATGACTTACTAAAACATAAACAAACGCACACAATATATACAAAAACATAGCAAAGGTGTAATGTAAAAGCAGGTAAACCTGGGGATTGTTCCTTAGTGCTGCCAGTGTGTACATCTGTGCTGCAGAAAACAAGTTTTTCTGCCTGTTACCATGCCTCTCGTAAAACAAGTCGCCCATCCTAATAAAAGCTGGGGCGAAAACAGATTTCGAGATCAAATCAGGTATAGTAAGTGCACAAGTCTGCAACTGTTCTGTTGCATTTAAAGTTAGTGACTTACCATAAGTGTTAGGATTTTGACTTTGGATCGTAATGTTGTAATATCTCCACATACAGTCTGATGCATAATCAGGATCCAGAAAACCTCCCTATTGACATAAAAGTAGTAAATAAAGAGGGAGAGCTGAAGTAAGCAGGAAAGTGACAATAACATTTAGGCTAATAGAGGCACATTTCAGATTTACATTTCTGTTACTTACCGAATTTTGTTCACACAGGTACGCCACATTAAACTGTGCAACTGCATATCCTGCTTCAGCAGCCATCATGTAATATAATAGTGATGTGAACCTGTAGCGAAGTCAGAAGATGAAATAGCTGTAATTGCATTCTAGTGATCTGATCAGGATTTTGGCAACTGTGACTAGAGAAAGACTTTACACGTCGTTCTTGAGATGGGCATCCAAAGCTTTGTGTAAGATGCTGCCCAAGTATCCGTTGTGCTCCGCTGCCCACTTTACCCACCTGCAGTAAGTTAAGAATACATTCTGGTTAAGAGACAAATAGAAATGCATGTGAATTAAAATAAATAAAAAAGTAAGTTGCTGACAAAACGGCGTCGGATGGATGTCTGTTGACAAAGCCAGGCATCCCAGTGGTCCAAATGTCAGCAATCAGAATCCCTCCCCTGATATTTCCTCTCTCTGCAGACTTCAGATAGTACTTATAGGCTATATACTGTAGGACAGATAAATTTGTTATATTATAAGATATATTTGTTATTACCACTTACAGGACCCATGAAATATACGTTACAGTGGATGATGATGTTACGGTTGAGCTTACCTGGTTGGCAGGTTTTCCTGGATAAAGGCCCTGTGAGTAAATCACACCAAGATTGAAAGCTGCTTCTGGACACATGAGGAGATCGGCCTGTTCCCATAGCTGTATGGCCTGTTTGTAGTCCTTCTCAAAGTGCTCATAGTACCAAGCCAAGGCATTTATTGCAGGAACATGACCCTGTAGGACCGATTATTTTGAGAACCAGAATGAGATGCAAACTTAAAGTGGACTCCAGATGTTACAGCATAGATAACAAATACATCATAAAGAAGTTTTTAACATTTAGCCACCTTATCCATTGCTTTCTTTAGGAATGTGACAGCTTTTGGAATGTTCTTTTCCACTCCATGTCCCTACAGAGAGAAACATTCATATATTACAAGTAGATGTGACTAAATGTTAACACAGGTGGAAGGAAAATGCTTTAGATTAAGATATTTGTCAATGTTGTTCCATATTGCATATCAAACACAAATCTGACCTGCAGAAGTACTATCCCATAGTCATACATTGACACTGGATCCTCCCACTGGACAGCTCCCCTTTCATAGTGTCTCACAGCCTTCAGGATGTTTGGAGTCACTCCTTGCTGGCCCCAGAATAGCATGCGGGCAATAGCTTGCTGTAAGAAAATTTTCAAAGTATTACTAAAATCTAAATGTTGAAATCCCCCCAGGAGTCGAGTTTTAAAAAAAAAAAAGTGATGCAGATCAACACCAGCAGAGTTTCCTTTGCCCATGCTCCACCTCTGTAGCCTCTGTAGTTCTTGCTAATGAACATCAGTGATTTTACTTCTGCTTTTGTCTTTGTGGAAGAACAATTATACCAACAGTTATATCAGCAGTTAGTCTTGTGACAAACCTGTTAACTCAGTCTTTGGCTTGATGAAATGTGAGAAGCATACTTGAAACAAAAGGGCAACAACAAAGTCAGTAGACTACCTCAGCCTCAGTTGCTCCCCTCCGGGCCTGATGTTTGAGCCATTGAAAGATGTGGTGGTTTTCATTGGTCTGGATATTCAACATCTTTTCATCGTTCACAAAAATAGCCTCAACTGTTGTCTAAAAAGGAGAAAAAAAAAGAGGAGACAAATGCTAAGGTTCAAAAATAAATTTGCTTTAAATTAAATGTTAACTAATTTTGATCACTGTAATAATTCCGCTTTCATTATACTGCTGCTTTTTTATGAACTGAAGAAACAAAGATACATTTATTGAGGACAGAAATCGAAAAACTGTAGCCATGATAAAAAGTAATCTAAATGTATTGGTAAAGCAGGTCATACATTGTATAAAAAAAATTTTTATATAGAAAAAAACAATGGTTTCCAAACCTGCTGTGGTGAGGGATTGTGACGGTCTATAGTTGTCTGTTGAGCAATGTTAGCATAATAGGCATAGGCCAGATCATGATCCTTGGGCTGACCATGCAGTCCAAGGTGGTGCAGGTGCCCAAGATGCAGCAATGCCAATCGATCACCCTTTTGGGCACCCAGCAGGCCAAGGAGCCAAGCCTGCATCATACATTTAAACATGTGAGAATATATTGAAAAAAAGCTTTTAAAAAACAAATAACTAATTAAACTATAAATGACCTGATAAAACAGACCTTAAAAGGCTCTTTCTGGACTCCTAGGCCAGTACTGTAGAGCACAGATGACATGTGCAGAGCTCGGGTATCAGCTAGACAGCCAGCTTGGAGAAGCAGTGATAATACTTTGCTGACCACTTCCGTGCTTCTCGCTTTGCCCAGCTTATGGAGTGATAAGGAGTATAGTGCTCTGCCCAAATCATGCAGGCCAACTGCTCTTCCTTCTGCAAGGAACAAATTGAACTTTAATGTGTTTAATGACATGCAGAATCCAAAACAGCAGCTATTACAACTGCAGAAAAGCATCATTAATTCAGACCGCATTATATTTTAAAATGCCCTGGCAATTGAAAATATTATACTTCATCTCTCACCATGTTTTAAAACTAATAATTTGGCCAGTTTAGCGGCATGTCTTCTGCGAGGAGCAGCTGCTTCCCACGATGCACACTGTGGATTTGATGTTTGTCTGTGTTTTACCACCCACTTATGGAAAGCATGAGAGCAAGTTTCTGAAGAAAAGCAGCACAAACACATTACTCACAGTGTCATTATTTGAAAAGTTATTTTTTGCACCATCTAGTGTAAGTAAACCCTACTGCTGGTATTACCGGCTTCTGTCCTCTGCTGGATCTTGATTGAATAGCCACTGATCTTGACATTCATGTCAAAGCTAAATTCTTCACAAGTCTGCAGCCACCTGGTGAGATTTAAATTCTGTATAACATCTGGAACATAAAACTCAGACTGAAAAAGAAAGATATAATCAGACTTGAACACAGTGAACAGTTGAGTTGGATGTAGCTACAAGTATTAAGTAAGTACAGTATTACTAGAAGTACCATAATGTCAGACACTATTCGGTTCCGGTGGTATATCACTGGTCCAAAATAGCCTTTCACTCCTGGTATATACTTCCCTCCTCCAATCACAAAATATCCCTCTGTGTCATCAAACATGATAATAAATCTAAACCTGTAAAGCATGTTATACAGCAGAAGAGCACATAGTGTTATAGTACACCTCAAATGCATTTTCTTCCTCTGGGTAAAAACTGAATCATGATGTCACATTAGAAATAGACTTACATATATTCAGAAGTTTTAACTGTTCTCTGGTTGTTATCCAAGCATACCATATTGACAGCCACCTGAGATGCAATGACAATGAGCATGTTTTTTTCATTATGATGATGATGTGCATGATAAACGGTATGCTGTGTCAACAAAAGACTACTTACTGTTCTACCTTGCACCATCACAATAAGATTGCACCACACATTTAAAGGGACCTTGAATGAAGAGAGAAATGCAGAGGATTCCTGAGACTCTCCATTCATCTGGATGTGTAGGTGACCTGTGTTTAATGTGAATGAAGATGAGCCTTATGGAAGTCAAGATAATGCGATAAATAGAATATGTAAGAAAAATTAACTATACCTGACTTTGTGAGGAGTATTGCTGGTGTGATATAACTATTTTGGGAATTTATATGATGAAACACGCCACACAAGGCTTCCTGGCAGTGTCTGGTTACAAATATCCAGATGGAAAGCGTACACCTAGAAACCCCCCCATAAAAAAAGACTTGTTTAAATGACCTTAAATGGTAACTTCAATGACAGAATGGAAAACTAGCAGATATACTGTAAACAGTCTATCATACCATGGGAAAGAGATGGCTTTAACACGTAAATACTCCAGAACCTCATTCCTGTGGGGATTCAGTGTCTTTGTGATACCAAAGCTTTCTCCAGTTGAAGCATAGATTGAAGACAGCAAATGAAGCGTTTCTAAATGAAATTTGGAAGCCTACAATTTAGCATGGTTATTGCAAAGTTTAAAAAACGAGGACTGTGTGAGTTTTTTCATCTTTCTCTGAAATCTTTAAGATTCACAGAATATTGCTGTCAAATACGGTGAGAGAATGTTTTTTTTTCATAGCTTCACTTTAACTTCATATAGAGTTAACTTTTACTCGTACTTCTCCAACCTCACCTTGTTCCAAGGCACACTGTTTCTGGATAAACTGTTTAGTTAGCTGGAGCATTTGTGTGCCCCAGGCAATACAGAGCTGATGTTGTTTGACACGTCGACTTAAGTAGGGCTTAGGTTTCAAATTTGCCACATGTTGAGCTCTGACAGACTTCTCAGTATCATCATATCCAGTGTGTCTGACTGAGGCTCGAAGGATACAACTCAGCACCCACTGAGAGTCTGGAACAATCCCATCAGGTTGATACACCAACCAGTCTGGCAGATTCAGCTTCACAGTCCTTATTTTATTGACACCTGGGACACAGTTCCACTGTCTTAGCAGAAATGTGCTTATGGTGCCAGTTTCAAAGGATACAACACAGTCCAGCTGTACTGTAGCAGGTTCATCACAAGAGTAGAGTACTTGCAAAAGATGGTCTGGCAAAGCCTCCTCTGGAGGATTCAGGATTTTCACCTCATCTAAACCCCAAACAACCTGTATGTGACAGAAGACAAGCATACATTTTCCTGAGAAGACTACACAAGAAGGAACCAGTGTATTAGTGAATTATTGATGAAGGCAAACCTTCTCCTACCTGCATCGTGAGGCAAAGCTGATAGATATATTTGTACAGTGTATGAAAATCCATTGCCCAAGCAATAATCTTGCTGCAGTGAAACAGAAGCATCAAGACCCGGATCTTATCCTGCTCTAACTCAGCTACTCTCCTAGGTAAATATTTGACAGCACAAAGCTCCACCCACTTACTATATACACCTCCGTGGAGCTCTCTGGATTTGGTTGCATTTCACTGCTGATAATATAACAAAAGGTAACCCAGTATCTTTCACCGTTTCCTGAATCTACATTTCACAACCTACATTTGAATTCTTTGTGCTGGTGCGAACTTTAGAGTCAAATCTAAAAATTCAAAAAGAATCTACAGCAGGAAATCAAAGTGCTGTGTATTAGGAGAAGAAGCTCACCTTTCATTCAAAATAGTTTATTGCTTTCATGCAGGAGTGCCATCAAAGTTTAGACCACAACATTAGATGCAAAATGATTTTTTTCCCTGTACAAATATACTGTAGGTTTTCATAAATAGAAGCTCAAAATAAAGACAACGAGAAAAGTAGGGTGAAGGACTTAAGAGCTTAAGCTGATCCACTCTTTTAACCCAATATAGGTTTCGTTATGACAGTTGACATGCATCAACGTTACAGTGCATTATACCGGGAGCAGACAGACACACTCACACATTCAGATGGCATAATCAATTTACAGCTCTGTCGTGCAAAAAAGGTACAAATGACACTTTAAAAAAAGTACCAGTAGGAAATTGTTATTTTTTTTAAGCTCGTCTTATTTTTTAAAATAAAATATTTAAACGTGTCTTATAAATCCAAACCACCTGTTACATTATGAGGCTGGGGGAGACTTCTTGTGTCTTCTGCAGCACTTTTTGGTTGTTCGTTGGTCAGGAGCACCCTAAGTGTACTGGCGTCCCTACTACTTTAGTAATTACCTACAACTAGATGCATAGTTTTGTGCTCAAATGAAGCAATCAACATTAAAACTGCCACAAGGTTTTTTTTTTTGTTGTACTTATCTGAGAATAATTATTTGTTACAAATGTAAACATACGGTACTGATACAGGATATACCCTCGGACATTCAGCATTTCATCTTTGAATATACATTACTGTATACATCATGCACTTTTGTCTTCTGTGCAAAAGGGGCTCAAGGTTTAGAACACACTACAAATACAAAGGCCTCTGACAGAAATCACAATTTGGCACTTTTACATGATTGACTTCCTGCCTCCATAAAACGTTAACCAGAAGTGGTTACAACTTTAAATTTTCAGTCTTGTACAGAGCAAAATACTTTCCTTAATTATAGCCCTTACCAACAACCAATCCTCACTGAGAAACTGCTGTGGATCTTTTAATGTCCACTAAAAAGACAAACAAAATAATAAAACTAAAAGACAGGACAGCATAGCCCAATCCACATTACGTGAAAATTGTGGGATCCTGGTTAACCTTCAAGGGGCTATTCTTACAAAACAAACCCAAAGGTGTACATTTTCTTATGATATACAGGTGTAGAAAGCAAGCATCTCTAGCATTTTCTTTTCACAATGTGTATCCTAACTTTAAAATTAAATACCTAAAGATACCATTGCATTTCATGGCTGCCACTTCAAACATTTTGGTAATTTATTGCCTAATAAATTTTTTTTTTCTATATACACCCTATTTTTAGTCTTCAAACACCTGATAACCGTATGGTTCAGTGAGGGTGTGTGTAAACCCCCAGTTTAATCAGTGATAGTCCTTAAGATAAGCTGGATATTTCAGCAAAGAGAAGAGACATTCTTCACTCTCCCATTTTTCAAACGCACTAAAACTCAAAACCGCAAAAGGTCTGATGCTGGTCCTTTAGATACTTTGCAAGAATTTACCTCTAGGGTGCAATATAAATACATTTAGACCCAGCAGTTAATGCTGATACACTAGGACAGCTTATTAGGGCTGTTCTATGTGGAAAAAAGATAACTGATTAATATTCTGAGAAAAACATTAAAACCCTTAATAATTATCTTTTATTTTATCTTTTTAAAAATGTGGTTTCTATTGCTAAACAGAAAATGGCCAAGTTGAGGCGTGATGCAAGAATAACTGTTACACAAAAGCATCTCATGCAAATCAGTATATTTCTTCTGAATAACCCAATAAACAGCTATACTTAATGTGATATTATGGGCTCCCAGATAGTTGCTGACTGCATCTGAATAATGTCAGTAGGAATAATAGAGGCAAAGCACCATCTAGTGTGATGAGATTGCTTTACAAAAAGAGGAACATTTTTATTTTTCTATATTTGTGACTTCAATGTGAGACTATAGTTTTTGGGGTTTTTTGCATTCATTTTAAAAAGAAATTTTCCACCTAAGACATCATAAAAGTTAGGATTTTTTCTTTTTCAGAGTATCACCCCCTCCCTGATCCTTTTTTATTATTTTTTTATTATTATTATTCCCTAGAATGGCCCTAAGAAGGCATCGTAATATACTGAGTTCAAATAGCAACACGCAACATTTGTTTTTACAGCCAAAGGTAATATACAGGAGCATTCTAATACACCTCTTGTATTTGAAGATCCCCTGAATGTGTCATTTTCTCCGCAAACAAGACATCAACAAAAAGAAAACAGACAAAGTGTACCCATCATTAAAAAGAAAATAGTCAGGAGTGCGCATTCACTTTGGACTTGTAGGTGTTTTGATAGTAATAAAAGAAACAAGTGTTGTCTAAGCAGGTTAACAACAAGAACCAAGCAAACACTTAGAGCATTCGAGTATCTGTCAAACAAAAGTGAAGACATGCAAAATGTTATAGATTGTAGAACAAGAAGGAAAAAAAGGAAACAACAAGTGGGAGACATATTTCCCTTTGACACTGGCACAAGTTCCTGCAGAATAAATAATACTTTACATTCCAATATACAAACCTGCCCATTCCCCACATACTCAACATTGACCAAGTGTAAGCAGATAAAGCTGGGTAAAACAGTCCACAGTCTCTCAAAGTAGGTGTTGTAACCTACAAAAAGATTCAATGACAAAAAATCTTGCCATCATGTGACCATTAATGAACCCCCAAAACTATAAACTAAAAAAAACATAACAAAAACAGGTTAGGCAGAGGAATACAGTCAGACAGCTTTGGTAGCCCATAGTTCATTTAGCTTTTATTTCCTCTGTTTTTTGAAGATCTTGAAGGTATGTTTCTTACGGCTGGCAGCTGAATCTGTGTCTTCTCCTGTTGAACCACTATCTTCCTCTAGAGGGCTCTTCTTGGAGGACAGCTGTGGGATGCGGCTGTTGGCTTTAGCTCCCACCACTCCTACCTGCCCTCCTGTTGGTGATGGTGTGTCAGGTTCAGTGGAGTTTGGGCTGAGTGAGCGAGATGACTCAGACAGACTGTTGATCTCTCCCAGGCTGTACACCTTCTTCATGAGTATGGGGCTGTCGGGACCTCCCTCATGAACACGGGTCCCTCCATTGGGGGTGTGAGCATGCAGTGAGACGGCATCATCTGCTCGGTTGGACAGGCCGTGCATGAGAGAAGTGGGCTTGATTAGGTGGCCTTTGGAGCTGTAGGCAGACAGTCGATCACCAACTTGTGAAAGGGACAAAGAGGAGTCTGAGTCGGAGCGATTTAGATCCCTGCAGGAAGAAAAATTCACAAGTTAGAGAAGGAAAAATCAGATCCAAGGAATGTTTAAAAGCAGCTTTGCATGCTTGAGTTTATCTACACTATGCCTTGAAAGTCACAGACACGCAGGGCACAGGCTGGATAGTGCGGCTCCACACTTGTTAGTTGAGCAGGCAAAGAACAGGAGGAACACTGAGAGGTTGAAAGAGAGTAAATGCAAAGTCTCTGTAATGGCTTAAAAACAGCAAAGGATGAGAAATTTTATAAAAGAAAAAAAATTACAAAATAAAATGGAAACATAACAAAATGAATATACTAAGGGAAGTGTATCTACTCTACATGTGTTATCAAGGTAAAACCATGACAGGTGGTGTAAAAACACCCACGCACATGCAAAGTGTGTGGAGAATGGAGACAGATGGGTACCCGAAACTGTCGCTGCACGAGGAGTGCACTTTGGAGACATCTGAGAATGACAAATCAGGAATAGGATCCATGGGCTGGAAAGAAGCATGGTATGCATGGGAATGAGGGGTTGCACTGCCACCCACAAAGCTGGGTAAGCAGGAAGAAGATGAGGATAAGGATGATGACGACTGAGGAATTTGGCTGGAAGTAAAGATTATGGACGGGTGAGAAACGGCCGAGGAGAGGGGAGGCAGAGGGAGACAATCGAGCTGCCCAAACGAGTGGCTGCGTGAATGTCTGAAGGTAGCCCTAGGCCTCGAATGGTAGGGGGTTCCCTCGCCCTGCTGCCCTGCCAACAGGCAACTCTCTACCAACCTCTGGGAGCCCAGGGCCAGCTGGGGATCAATGTGGCGTTGGCGCAGAGACATCATACTGGGAGCTGTTGGCACAAAATAACAGCGGTAGTAACATTAACATAAAATAAATGGCTGATGGAAAAAGTGAGAACAATGAGAAAATTACTGAAAAGATGCTTTAGTCTTTGGAAACGTTACACATTATTAAATATAAAAATACACAAATTTTAGCCTCTTTACTCCACAATAGTGATGCATATCAGTAAAATCCCAACACTTGTTTAATCTTTCCATCTAATAAAGGCAAATTATAAGAATATAATAAGTTTAAATAGGAAAAAATTGTTTCTTTAAAAAAGAAAAACAAATACAAAACAATAGTGGAGTAGAAAAAAGTGGTTTGTCTGGAGGAGGGGCAACATTTAGGAGGAGGATTTCAATACCAAGCAAGCAACTAAGGTCAGGTCAGGGGTGTTTTTAAATGAAGGCAGCATGGAGAAGGTTTTTTTTTTTATTTTATTACAGCTGGGTCCATCTGGAGCATACTGCCAGTTAAAATGTATGAAAACTCTTTTTAGGCAAAAGTGGAGATGGGAAGGTCAGACTGAGGACTGAAGTGGGGCATGAATAAATGGCCAACCAGGATATTTCCACACGGGCTGACAGTCTGAACCAATGGACCACAGGTCACTAGCTCGCCGTTCCAACAGTCGATTGCCATCTGTAGTTGGACCAATGAGACAGCAGTGGGAGCCAAATACCAGAGAAGTGGTGGAGGGAGAGAGGGGAGTGAGACAGGCAGTGTAATTAATGTTGATTAAACACTTGTTCACTTGTGCAGCAAATTGGAGCTCCAGTTACCTAAACCCATAACCTAACATATAAAGTCAAATATGGTTTGAAACTGACATATGTATAAAAATGTATGAATTCTACAAGAACTGTAAGGTGTGTAAGAATTTGAGTTGTGTTTTTTGGTGTTCCTATCTTGGTCCTAAATAGGAATATAATTCTGGCAGTGACTACATCTGAAGTATTTCCTTTTTTGGCATCCTTCGAAAAAAAAAACAAAAAAAAACTGATCCAACATATCTATAACACGTAACATGACACAAGCACTACAAATCGGTCAACACAAAAAATTGTTCTCTTTAAGAAGTATATTTTTCTTTGGGTTTCAGTTTCCAGAGGAAAATCATGGCAATCTTCAGTTTCAATAATTTACTGAATGAAATAAACAAATGTATCCAAAATAACAGTTAACAAAAAGGCAAGTGGTATCGTGTGTGAAACAACAAGACAATTATCTGAATTTACATAGTGTGAAGTGTAAAACACCATTCAATACTCATTTTCGACATGTCTAACCCCCACTACCGTCAGCACCATGGAGGCAACAATAATACATGTAGCATTAGGTCCAAATTGTCATGTGAGCTGATTTTTGGATTTCCCAAGCAGAGCCTTGGAGGAAGGTTTAGGGATTTTTTTGCTAATCCCCACTGAAAGGCTGAGCGTTTCGGAGGAACTCTTACATGGCAGAGTTCCGGGTACGATATCCTCGTCCATGTCGTCCATGTCGTCAGACATGATGAAGTGCTGAGGTGTAGCTCTGCCGCCCATGAAAGTGGGGTCGAGGTTGAGGGCCGAGGCCAGTGATGGGAGGCCTGGATTGTTGACGATGGTAAAACCCGTTAGAATCTCTATCTGCTGCCAGCGATGCAGCCTCTCTCGCAGAGCAGCGGTCACCTCGCCAAGGGCTTGTCTGCAAAAGATCAGAAGAAAGTATTTAAAAGAAAACTTTGCAAAGAGGAGAATGTATGAAATGTATGTATGAAATCATCTTTCCTCAGCTTTTATTTTTTAACAACATATCAACGCACAATTAAGAGTCTCTAACTTACTTGGCTGCTAATATTTTGTGGTCCACATCATCCAGGGAGGAGCTGTGAGCCACATGGAAAGTCCCAAAGAGAGTGTTCCTCTTTTTCTTTATCTTCTCTGCCTGCGAAAGCAAGTGACCAAGGACTTATCAAGGTAAGCAGGAGGAAGTGGAAAGTGGTGCCCAGGTTACAACAACTGACCAAATATTTAAGAACAGGAAAAGCTTCATGGGTAATGAATACAGAATTTGTGGAAGTTTACCATTTTTGGATATTAAATTATTAGCATAAAGCTCTATCTTTATGATATTCTATTTGTTTAACATACACAAGGAAATGTATATATATTTTTCATGCTAACCCCTTCTTTGGCCACCAGGAGTTGCCGTTCGGCATTTTGCTTCTTGATGTTGTAGTACTGCACTTCCACCTCATGGGTGAGCTGCAGCCATTTCTGTAGAGACTCTGGTGGCGACCAGCTACTCCGTGACTCCAACTCCTTCTCTGCCTTCTTCAATGCCATGCGCACCTGCAACAAGTTTCAACTATTAGCCATACTAGATGAGCACATAAGGAAAAATGGACCCACAATCTGCCAACAATTTTTAGCCTTTTCCATATCCACAAATAACCCAATCCCACACACTGAAAGCTCAGATGTAACCTCAAACCTGAATAAAGGTGTCTGCGTAAATGGCCCCCCATTTTCAAACATGAATTTTGGACAATTTATGTAAAATCAAGTCCGAACATTTCCATAGTTGCCCCTTCTCAACTGCACACATCAGGAGAGTCTCGGCATCACGCAGGTTTGGCCACCATTTACCTGTTAATTACCTATATCCACGATTACCTGCACTATTCTTTAAATGGGTACAACTGGTACTACGCAGCAGGGGTTTCAAATCTAGTAAAGTTCAGGCTTGTATTTAATGAAAACAGCACATATATGGACTGTAGAAGCCCTGCTTAATCCCAAATTAGCAGGACAGTCAAATGTGACAAAAGCATCAGAATTAGTGCACTGTGATAATCCTCCAAGCACAAACAGTTTCACTTATGTACGTGGGCTGAACTGTGCTGCTTCTGCCAAATTCCAAAGGACAAAGACTTGAGTGGGTGTATTTACACTATAGCTAGTGTGAATCTGAAAGACCTAAACATACTGTGCCGATGCCACCTTGGAAGTCTTCTTCTCTATTTACTCAAATTCACTGCTTCTACTCTGTGGACTACAGATTGCGTTTAAATGTAACTGATCAGACTGCAACCATTACCTGTTCGAGCTCTTCTTCTGCATACTTTTGGCGACTCAGCTCATTCTCTGTGCCTTCACGCAGCTCTCTCAATCGTTGGGCCTCCTGCTTAGCAGCGTTTATCTCATCCCTCAGCTTCTGCTCGAGATTTACCTTCTCTACTTCAACTGTTCGATGCTCCTCCTGGGCAATCTGCAACCTAAGGAAAAAAGGACCAAAGGTCATGCTCAATTTTTAGTCAGTGGCTGCTTACTAAGCCCAAGCAACTGAAGCCGTGTTGGAGCTATTGTTATTTTCTATGAACTATGGAGATGTGCTTAGGTTTGAGCAACCCTGGTCAAAATTTCTGTTACAGATTGTTGGCTGTCTAGCAGTCACTGCTCTTTTGTTGTCTAATCAAAAATTTTGGATTATATTTAAATCAGTGGATTGAGAGGGCCAAGGCAAAACATTCAGGTCGATCCTCTTGAGGTAGTCCATGGTGCATTTTTTAGGGTATATTTAGGATCATTATCCGGTTGTATAATCCAGACTCTTGTCATCTTCAGCTTTTAGCAACAGACTGCTCCCAGAATAAACTGCCTTTATATTATTCAGCTATTTAGTACATTCCTCCCTCTATCAGTGAAAATGTTCCATGTACCACTGGCTGCAGCACAAGCCCAAAGCATGATCAATCAACCCTTGTACTAACAGTTGGAAAGTTCTTTTTGTGTAACTGTAGCACCCTTTCATCTCCAAACATACCTTTGCTCATCACAGCAAATAAGTTCTATTTTAATCTTATCCTCCAACCTCAGGATTAATTTCTAGACTGTATCAGGCTTGTTTAGAGGTTTATATGCATGGCTTTAATGCTGAATTTTGTGATAAGCAAGCAGGATTTTGAAGACTGCACAGTGGAAAAAATGCACCATCAGTCTGCCAAGGATTTTTTTAGTCAAAGAGAAATTTTGATTTACCTTTCCAGCTATCCTAGTAGCATCAGTTTTTTTCAGTGTTCCAGACCTTAACTTGACCACCACCGATCCTGCTAAATACCATTTCTTAATTAGGTTAAATGCTTTGGCGTCTTCAAAAAAGGCTTTTCCTGCCTTCTGGGCAGTGCTCAGTGCTGCACCGGCTTAAAGGAGCCCTTGAGTGCTAGTTGTTATGACAAGTATTAGAGAGGCAGAGGATTTATAAAGCTTTGACTTTTGGTAAAAGGTACCTGGAATCAAATTTTAAATCTTTTGTGTTTCTTGTTCTTTTTTACTCAACAATTGCAAAACACATTAAGGAGATAGTTTTCTCTCTGACATTATTTCTTTTAGAAAGTTTATCTTGTGCTGAAATCAACAGAAATGTTTACTAGGGGTGCCTAGATTGCATGCCATAGTAGGCATTGCATCAGCCATGCATCACCAGAAACAGCTAACATGTAGAAGAGCAAAGGACTGTGGTCAGCTGCTAGGCAGCTCACAATAATCTGACATCAGAGGAAGCAGAGCCAAGAAGAGAACAGCTGTCAGGATTTAAGTTTAGAACAGTACAGTGTGGCACCCAGTGCTCCTGTAGAGTTCTGAACATGCAAGTGGTGGATATAATTAGACTAGCCTTTAAAACAAAAACAAAAAAAGGGGAAAAAAAAGCCTTTGAAAGCGGGCTTGTCACCAATAACACGATTGTTTTCACTGAGACACACACCATTCCGATATACTCTCATCTGTAACCATTCAGGTCCAACTAAACCCGTGATGTGGTTACATTTATGCAGGACTTTGTAATATTTTTCAATTGAAAAATGTCACTGGGCTTGATAGCCTGATGAATATGACAAGTCCCAGAACTACAGTACTACATATACTGTGATACAACAAAATAAATGCTGTTGTTTTCAAATTTCTGTTTTGTTGTTTTGTTAAACATGTGGCACAAGGGCAGAACGTACAAACACATTTCAGTCACCAGGGAGCAGCACTTTCCCCCACTGAGGCTGAACACAACAGCAGAAGTAGTACACAAGTGCAGAGAATTGAAACTTGATCCAGACCATGAGCTATGGAAAATGTTGCTGGTGGGCAGTCCTGCTAATGCTTTCGACCCTGACCTCTGCCATTCTCTAGCTAAAATTTGAAAGCACTGGCTGAGTAACAGTGTCCACAGAGTAGATGCCAAATTCTGTTCCTGAATGAAATGACCTGAATTACAGAGCTTAAAGAATGCAGACACAATGTCTCTGCAGACTTTGCAGGTAATGTTACTGAATACACACTGATATTATAAGACATACATAGCCTTATATGCCCAACCTTTAAGTTTTTTTCACATGCAATACAAGCTGTCCCTGTCACCTGTCCTTTTTCAGGCCTTTCATCTGCACACCACACCCAAATTCAAATGTGGGTGAATTGCATCAGAGCTGACATGTTTAACAGTCATGCTTAAAACACTCGCCCACCAGTGAAGGGGGAGGCCAGGTCAAAGAGTGTTGTAAAAGTCACCCAGGAAATCCAGCTCTCGTCACAACCTCCTTACACTGTCTCCCAACAGTGAAGCCATGTTTGGACCAGGCTACTTGACAGCATCGCAGGATCTGCTTAAAGGTATGGAAAGAGAGCAGCTGGCTGCAGGGATCAGTAGGAAACACACAACTAAAGACAGAGCACAAACCTCTCAAGCTGCTGATTTTTGTGTGGCGGTCTTATTGAAACAAGCATGCCTGAAAAACCTGCTGCCTGTCTGATAGCCTATTATACCAGAACCTGCATATTCTTTGGCATTCATATTGCCTCAGAAATGCACACAATACCCATGCTTGCACAGTAATGCAGCCCTATAATCCTCATGACCTCATACTATTGGTTTTGAAATGACTTGACTCAACAAAAGTATTTGATCCCGTGGTCTAGCCTTTTCTGTCATAGCATTTATTATGCTAGAAAAAGTCGCATGCAGTATTGCCAAAAATAGAACGCCCTTTTTGCATGCAGTCACACTTTTGCACAAGCCCGCATGCTTTTCCTGCCACTCTAACCCACAATCCTCTGAGCCAACTACACATAAAGCAAGAGGGTCAAAGCTCAAAGCACACCGATTTGAGGCAGCTGCAGTTCCCACTGAAGCTCTCAACTTGCATTTCAGATATTTTTAATTAAATAGAATTTAAATGACCTCTATGGCCAAAATGAACTGAGTTGAAGTTTAAAATGCAGCTGAACAAAACACTGCTGAATTGTAACAGGCAAATTTTACTGCAGTGCTGAACAAACAAGCATAATTCAGGGATCTGAGCAGTTCCTGTAAAGCACTATACTACTATCTGCAGACAGACAAACTACTAATAAGTATTACGCACAACCATGGTGCAGACTGTTTACTTGCATGGGATACTAAATTATGTCTGCACTTGCTGGCCTTTAATATTTACTTAAGGTTTGCCACTGTGATCTGTAGAGGAGAATTAACTATGCGTACTTAGCTTAGCAAAAAAAGGAAAGTCAAAATCCACTTCAAAGATGCTAGTGGCAGGTGTTTTACAAACAGTCAAAGTATAAATCCACAGAGTCAACACAAAGACTAACTTGGCAGCGTCAGAAGGACAGAGTTTGACCTCACTGATTTGTCCCCATTTAAGCCATCAGTTGCACTGTTTGTTGGAATTCAGCAGGAAACTCCCACAAAACACTTTTCCCTCCACCTAGTGTACTGAAAGGAAAAGGAACTAACAAAGAACATGTCTGTTACAAAAATATGCTGATGCAGGAGATAAAGGTGCAACTGTAAAAAAATCAAGAATCCATGACAGACACAAACATTAGTTTCAGTTCAGTCAGTAAGCACTGACAAAGCATAAAATGAATATTTCAAAAGCCTGTCTCTTGAACAGCCCATTTATCCCCCATTTAACATACAAACATTAACGTATGTGGGTAATAAGGGCAGTCAAAGAAAAATTTGCAACAAGAGTTCACCTCTCCCTTTGTTCTCAAGAATAAAGACAAGAATGTTACGCAGTTATGTGGCTCTTTCCAGTGGCCTGAGCTTATTCCTTTTTTAAATTTACCTGAAGATGACCTCTCCCCCAGTGGATAAACTGTGTTAGAGATGCAAAACCATAAAATGGGAATCTCTTTGCACCTTCAAGCTCAAAAACCTTTGGTTCATGTATCACGTCAAAACTGAGTTCAAGTCTCCTTGAAAGGCAAAATAGGATATGCACTTCAAAGCACATTCTGAGCATTCCTTCAGGTATTAGCAGGACTAAAATAGTTAGATTAGCCTTTCTTTTATTCACCAATTCATGTAGCTTTACTTTAAAACACTGAAATTTCATCTCATTTCAAATCTTAAATCACAAGACAGGCTGGAATGATCCGATGGCCAAAAAACTCCTCAGAGTATGAAATATTTTGCATTATAAGATATAAGAAAGGGCAAAGTATAAAACGTGCGATTCAAAAGTTGTTTTTTAAAGAGTTCTAAAATTCTAAAAGGTTTAGCCCTGAGGTTTGGCCACCATTTTACAAATTCCCAAGATTTTTCTCTTCTAAAAGAAAAGTGTGATTTTGATCACTGGTACTTACAATGTGTACTTTTAAACAATTTGTCAGAGTATAGTCAGAAGTGATGGCTGGAGACTAAATTAAGAATTACCTTTACGACTACGCAGATATGGAGGCTATAAAACTGCAGCCAATGCTACCAGTAATAAGCAGTGTTTTAGTTTGTTAAATAAAGAAGTAAGCATGCCTTGATCACATGCATCTGCAGCCAGTTAATGTGTGACTTGCTGTGACATGCTCGTGTATGAAGCCAGAAAAATAAATAAAACAGCAGAAAAAAACCCCTCATGCAATCAGACAGCTTCACGAATGCATGAAGCAAACCTTCCACCATTGATCCAAAGACTTTGGCTTCACTAAATTAGTCACCTGCTTGAACATAAAAACGCTCCGTGGAATGGGTCCATAGAGGCCTGATGATAACTAAGTATAAACACATAAGTGCCCGGTGCTAGAGCAGGTCTGCCAGTCTTTTATAACATAACACAAGTTCCTATTTGAGAACAATGAATGCCATTAATCAAACCTTTCCCAGGATTGTGTGCAAACCTGGAAAAACTATATACAAATCCAAACAATCAAACCAGAAAAACATTGAAAGTTGACAGCAAAAGAACTAGGGAGTAACCCTGCAAACATGCTACAACGAGTCAGGCCGTTGCTTTGATTGTCATTCAAGGTTGGATATCAGCAGAATGTTCAAGTGAAAACTAAAAATCTTCTGTTCACTTGTGACCTCCACCATTTAGAATCAGTAAATGTTGGAGGTTTACAGCTCAATAAGCTAATAAGCTACTAATGTCAGAAATAACCGTTTACAGCTGATTATTATAGCACACAGTTTAATGTATGAGAGTTATCCTCAGACAAGTGGATGATGAGTTTAAATGTATTAAAAGCTCAAAAGTTCTCATGTGAAGACAAAAATAACAGTTTCATATTAAATCTAAAATGAACGCCATGTGCAGAAAATACAATTAAATGCAATAGAGCTTGTGTTGGTGTTGGGAAAAACCCTCACTTCTTTTGTAGGTCATGCAGACTCTGCTCAGCTCTCTGCAGGCCCTCTAGGTCCTTCATCATCTTCTTCATATGGTCCTTAGAGTAGCGGTTCTGGATGTAGGCAAACCAGCATCCACCCATGCCTATGACTATTGACACGACCAGCATGAAGTCCTTCAAGTGGTTATGTCTATTCACTGAATGAAATAAAAAGACATGAGGTTACATTTTAGTAAGACAAGAAACTAAGTCATTAAGCAGGCCTATAGATGAGGAGATGCATTTTGGTCAGCAACATGTATTATAGGATAAAGCTGTTTAACAACACAGAAATTTTACAAGAATGTGATGTGAAACTTGAATCTCATAGTCATATTGCAACTGCTGTGGAGTGACACAAATAGAAGGCTCACCAGCACAATTTCAGGTTGCGGTGAGAGGGACCCAGTGCAAAAGACCACGATAAAGACAGCTTAACACGACCTATTTTAATCTGGGGAAGATGTGAAGCTAAAGCTCAAACTTTAGCTGCAACTATAAGTATTCATTGACGTTATCACTGTGAGGGTTTTATAGATTTTCAGAGTCACAATAGCTTGGAATCAAGTATCCTACTTGTAAGAACACATCCCATATTCAGATCCCTTTACAACCACTAACAGAATAACTTAAAGTTAAACCCAAGCTGGGAACTAACAACAGATATTTGTCATTTGATGTGTCGAAGAAATAACATGTATGTAGCAGCTAGCGTAGTTTCTCAAAGTTTTGCAAGTTACACAAGTTTTTCTTGCAAAACCTGAGTAGGAGTATACAGGAAAGAACAGTATACTTCCTGGAGTGAGACAAAGGGAAGTAAAATGAATATATCAGTAGATCGTGCCAGCTCGACAGACAGAACTTCTACAACACAAGCTGTAAATCTCAAGTACCTGTACAGCTCAAGTCTTATCAGTTCCACTGAATAAGTAAGAATAACAGGAATGCACTTTGCATACAATATATCCATATCTTTTTAGTCTGACCTGCATGTAGCCTTGGAGGGCAGAAACACAGTTTTTAAAATGAAGGCCAACACTGGACAATCCAGAAGTACAAGCCTGTAAGTTTTTTACCTATTCCAGGCCAAATATTTAGACCACCTGTCAGAATAAGATGAATAAACAGCAAGTTGTGGGCACTTGAGAACCATGCATAGTAACCACAGAATTTTAATCACTCTCTGCCCCTGCCATACATAGATAATGTACAGAATAACTCCTTTTACATTGATGTAAGAATAAAAGCACACAGATAGGTTTTTCACCTCGTTTTGATCAAAATGGGTCAATAACGTCTAGCTGACAGGCAACAGAAGAAAAACCTTATTTTGGTGGTCGCTCCTCCAATAATGTGACCTTGAGTAACAGATCTTTACCTCTTAAATGACCTGGAACACAATAACCCAAAATGAGTCATGCTTACTGAAATGCATGTCTAGTGCATCATAGTTCTTCACTGAGCACAGACGCCAAAATGAAAAACAGGGCATTATCTCTGAGAATGCAATTTCCTGATGCCACTCCTCTGCTGGGCTATTTATTGTAGGCAATTTCCTTTTACATACAGTGAACAAAACATTCAATTTCTTTCAGGAATACCACCAAGAGCGCATCAAGTGACAGGTAATTAGCCGCAGAACTGGAAATAACAGGACCCAAACGAGCTTGGGTTAATTATTACACAACTGTTGGCCAGATTAGGTGCAACCTTTTGTGCAGTGTGTCTTAAAATGCTGCTACGCTTCACAGTTGGTCAGTCTGGCTGTTAGTGGGACCCCCTGGTTTTGAGAGCTTGTCAAAGCCAGACAGCCCTTGCTAATGTCTTCCTGCGGGTGACTCTTACAAAACACATTCACAATGACACATGCCAGACACACACCACTACACACTCTTCCCCTTTCCTGTTTTTTTTTTTTTTTTTGTGTGTGTGTGTGTGTGTATCTGTGTGCTTAAAGCAAATACCTGGTTCCACTGACTGTTTATTAGATTTTCTTTTTTTCTTTTTGACGTCTCATAAACTCTTCTAAATACACACCTTTACTCTACTTTGAAATTCCTGGGAAATAATTCTCCAGTATCAAAACAATTTTTTAAAAAAACATCTAAACTGCTGACAGGACATATGATATCGAAGACAACCTATCCATTGTGATGTTACAAATCCCTAAGGAGCTAAAAAAAACTGAGAAACCCCTAAAGGATTACAATCTACAAGTGCAGAATTGGAGCAGAGATAGTGGAGAAGAAGAGGATGAGTGGAGTGTTTATTTGCCTCTGTACGCAGAGTGATGTGTCTGGAATACAGAGTAGTGTGGTCTAACAGTCTAAATCTTCCTGAGTCCCTGAAATTGATACAGGTGGTACAGGATTTCCTAAGCTTAAATGATAGCACTGGGTTGAATGAGCATACACCTTTCACAATTGTGGGTTATGTTGTTTATACTCGTACACTGTTGTGTCTGCGTTTTACTAACATGAGTCATGAGTGAAAGCCAATTAATCTTTAACAATAGTTAAATTAACTGGAATTCAGAATGGGGAGAAGACTGTAGGACTTACAGAGTCTATACACAGATTGTTATACCTGTCAGAAGAAACAAACACAAGCTAAACTGGCAAATTATGAGTTACTGCTTCAGTCTAATGAGGAAGCTAGCCACAATTACAGTCTATTACATTATGTTTCACAGAGGTATAATCCTTCCACTAATCAATACGCCACATTTCATTACCAAAGAGTTATTGAGATCTGCTTTGCTGTGATGTGTAGCGTTTCTGGAAAGGTGCTATGGCATAGCTACAGTTAAGATTTAGTGCAGTACTATAAATCAAGCATTGCATAGACCTGGTGACTCTGGCCACAACACTTCACAGGGACAAAGAGCGAATGAAAATGAGAGCAGTAGACCAAATTGGGCAGGATGTTGGTCATGTTGGTAATGAAACTTATTTTCCACAGTAAAACATTTGAATGCAAGAGATTCATATAGTAGACTGTCTGCTGGGGAAGCCGTGTTTCTAAAAGTCAGACACGACTTGCAAAAAATAAAGTTACATACTCAGTGGTGCTCCAAAGAGTACGGTGTCCAACGATTTGAGCTGCAACTTTTGCACATGGCTTCGATCCAAAATCTTCAGAATAGAGAGTGTCAGAGTGGTGTTCTTTACAGCAAGCCTGAAAGAGACCAGACGTGCATTCATTTCGCAGGAAGAAAGCGGGGGACACACACACACAGACACATACACAACAAAGATTGTAATGCGATCGCTTGACAAGTCCTTAATTCATCAAAGGTAAACTAAAGTAACCCATATCAAAATAAAACAGGTTAACAAAGACAGCCAATTTAATGACTTTAAAAAGTTGTATTAAGTACATAAAAATATCTCCACAGTAATAAGTAAACCAAGACACTTTATCACACACAGTGATGTGTAGGGTTCATAGATCGGTTCAGTTTGAAAAAAGAAAGAAAGGAAAATAAAGTCATGATGATGTCACACCTTGGCATGGCACTTCCATTGAAATTCATCTTGCGAAATGCATCCACATACTGTGGCAGCTCCACATAGCTGATGAGCCATTCCACCACCTTGTCCACTGTCCAATTATACACTGTTGGCAAAAAGAAGAAACAAAATATCCACTATAATTACAATTCTCAGTCTTTATTTTGCACCACATTAGTTGTTCCCAAAGCGACAATTATTCTTTCTGTAGCCCAAAATATAAACACTATGAAAAAAATCCAATCAAACTACAGATAATGGATCAATTATTTACAATGAAAAGTATTTCCTTCAACTCTTATAACAACCTACAAACAATAAAAAAATGTGACAAATACATTCTGCTGGTAAGACGAGTGTATTAGTAATAAGAGAGTGAAGCTGATTTATCGGTTGATCTTTGCTTCCACCCTCACCTATGAATATGAGTACTGGGTAGTGACCAAAAGAGTTAAACTGCGATGGAAATGAGCTTCCACCAGTGATTGGCCGACGCAACCTTAAAGAGAAAGTGAGGAGCTCAGCCATTCAGGAGGGGCTCGGAGTCAAACTTACTTCCCCACAGTAAGTCAGGAATCTATGGGCAGCTGACCAGCATGCCTTTCCAGACACCTACTAGGTGAGGTGTTCCATGCATGTGCTACTAGAAGGCGGCCCCGGGGCAGACCCAGGACACAAGAGAGATTAGATTTATGGTTTGGCTTGGGAATGCCTTGGTGTCCCTCTGGAAGAGGTGGAGGAGAAGAAAGTCTGGGCATCTTGGCACAGACTGCTGCCCCAGGATTAAGACCCAGATACATGACAGAAAATGGATGGATGGACATTCTGCTAACAAATATCATGATTGATATTTAAGACAACATCAGAACTTGAATCAGTCTTCACAGATAATAATCAATTGTAACTCAACAGGATTTCCTTTCTAAAACTTCCTGCTTCTAAATTAAAATACCCCATAAAAGCATGTCTGGCATTATAGCAGTGTTTGTCACTAGTGTTAGCTGTGAATACATATAAGACAAAGGATTTCTATAATCACAAATGTTCCAGATATAAAGACCAAATTACATGCCAGCTTGTCCTCCAGCCTCATTCGTTCTGTTTTTTTATTCATTTTATAATAGTAGAATTCATATTTATTCACGTTTCATAGAGAGAACTCAATAAATAGCTGCAGTATATTTTACTGTCTTGCTATTTTCTAACACAACTGTTTTGAAAGAGAAACTTTGACTGTAATCTTTCACTGTGTTTGAGGATGTTCAAGGAATCCTCCTTGTCAGTTAGATTGTTTTATTTCCTAAATGGATGATTCAGCTCATTCTCAGCCCTCTTCTCATGTGGTGTTCCCCACAGGCCTTCCATTGGGCCATCCACAAATACAGTGCTAGCTTCCACTGTTATGCAGATGATACACAACTTCTAAAGATTCAAGGAATCATGTGGACAGCTGTAGCTTTCCAGCGACAAATTTAAGAGTCGTGTAGCACAACAGTTAGTCAAAGCAATCCAGAAAGGGAATTACACTTCCTTTCTCACGCCAGCAGTTGGTTAGATGACCTCGACTAGATAGAAAATGTTTCACTTGCTTAAAAACAGACTGAAGGCAAAAAATATATAATTCTGAAACCAGAAATAATTAAAGCATGTTTGAATATAGGGCAGCAGAGATTCAAGAGGGAAGAAACCAAGTGTTTCCTGATGTCTGATTCATAGACCTCAGGCAGTCACAACATCTGAAACTAAGTATTAACTATTACTGTAGCAAAGGCTGGAGTAATTTAACCAATGTTCTCCTTTCTAGCTACACTGTAAAAACTTATCTGAGAAACAGCTGTAACCTCATAAACATCAATTCATTTCAAATCTAACACTTGCAGCCGAGAAAAAATGCATCACTATTGCAACTGCATAATACAGGTTGACACAAAATGCATTGTTTGACTGTGTGCATACACATCCTGAATGATCTACGAGATCCCCGCAGCATAACATGCTGACAGGAATAATTGGGGAAGGCAAATCTGATCCCCAGCACCTGGCAGAGAGTCAAAACTGTGAGTTGACTAAGTTAATACATTGCTCCCTTGTACAATAACCCTGTTTCCTTGCTCAGAACCTCTAAAACTTTGTCAAGAAACTGCAATGCAGTGTAAGTCAGTACTGTGAACAAAACTGTGGTAAAAGCAGTCAGAGGAAAGGATGCTAAAAGGTGAGTGCCAGATACAGCACATGAAAGTGCTCTGAGTGAGTATAATAGAATACATTAGTATGGTTAGACATAGTCAGAAAGAAGTGTGACTGAATTTTGTGCTGACAGCTTCAACGATCTTAACTCTGGGCCACTCTGGCAGAACAGTGCACTTTGCTGGGCATGCAATCTTATCAACTACTTTGTGCCTTTGTTAATTGAGTGAAAGGGTCAAGCATGGATAAGCTGTAACACACACTTTCAGTCAGAGGGAAGCACATAAACCTTTATTTACAGGCATATAAAAGCTCTGCCATTCTCTGACTGGTAATCAAAGTCACTAAGACTGCTTCATTAAAAATGAAAATCACTGCTACAATATCAAACATTAAGTAGTGTTTGGAGGTATCAAGTATGCAGAAAAAGGTTTACAACATACAACTCTACATAGAAATGGATGTGAAAGAAAGGCCCTTTTTGCAACAAAACTGTACCTTCAGAGCCCTTCCATGAATTCCACAAGTCCTCCACACTGATGAACTGGTCATCCCCATGGAAGCTGTTATGTTTGGCCTTAGGGTCATGGTAGTTTAAATCTTCTCTCAGGAACTGCAGTATGACAAAGACATTTGTAATGGCTACAAACAAAAACCTTTTACAAGACTTGCATGACAAAATAGCTACACTGTTAAAACATTTGTTTTACAACTGCAATTTCACCACTGAAACTGACAGTGCATTCAAAACTTTGGCTAGCGTATTCTGACCAAACTTTGAGCACATCTTTAAGTCCTTAAAGTTGGCTTTGAAAGATGATACCTTTGTATATCAAACTTAGTTGCTTAATTGAAGTGGTGTGAACTTTGTAAGACAAAAATCAGACCCATTGTAATCGATGCCATGTTCTCCAAACTATCTAAACAAATGTTGCTGCTAAAAGGGGCGAGTGACATCAAGAGTGAAAGGAAAGGGAGTGTCACCGTATATTACCTTGTTGATGTTGCTCCTACAATACAATATTGCTGTAGGGCAATCACTACAACTAAGGTATCGCCATGTTGTCATATGATAGCTTTGGAACTTGGAAAAAAAATGCAAATGCATGGTTCACACCGAGAGTGAAAACGTTACGTCACAAACCCCATATGAAGATGAGGCTGTGGGGAAAAAACGGTGAGCTCTCAGTTAGGGTTTGTTTACATTTAGGCAGTAAAAGTACTTGGCTATGTTTAGAACGATATCATGAGTTGTGTACAAAACATTAGCCATATAGTTAAAAAAAAAAAAAAGCCTTTCAGACAGAACGCCATGAGGGCAAACTTCTCATGTTGCAAAGCTGTGACACCACAAAACATGATCACTTCTAATGAAACCATTACTACAAAGAGGTGCATTGCTTTGTGACAATGCGGAAAGACCACATTTGTAAATGGTGTTTAGGGTTTCTATTGATTGTGAGCACTGTGACCCATTTCACTGCTGTAATAGTTAATCCATCGTTTTAGTGCAATTAAATGCAACTCCTGTGGGATATATCCATTGCCTTCACTCGCTTAACATGAAATAAAACCTAATAAATACCTCACCAGGGATTTTCCCCTCATTATTTAATTGTGCAACACAGAATGCCATTCTCACTTTTGTTCAAAACTATTATACATTTAATCATAAAAACAGCTTTTTTTGTATTCCTTTTAGAGTAAGACAGTGTCATGCTCACTAAACTGTACCAAAGACTGATCGTAATGTAAATTCCACTTGCACTCTCACTGAAATGGTAATTGTCCCTCACTTGCTTTTGGAACCACATTGCTGATTGCCCACTGTATTGTAGGCTAACCCACTCACCAGGTTTTTAAAAATGAACCCTACATAACATCTAGCACTCCCACAAAAGCAGAGTCATGGGTGAAAGACAGTAATAAGTCATGATGCCTTTCTTTCTTGATAGATTTGTGTGGGAAGATTTCACTACAGTGCAGCAAGATGTCTCTGCTGCAGGTGAAATACAGCACTCCCGAACATATTCAATGGAAAATTAGCAGGACCTGTATAATGTGACAGAGTCACCAAGGTTACTGTTAAGAGACCAGATGTACACTTTCATCTTGCTCGTAAAGAAAGCAACTCCCCACCTTATTTAATCACTGTATGATTAACAAGAAAAAGAGGGTTGTCTTGAAGTACTCTTCATCATCATTTTGAGCTTTCCATTTCTTGGCTAAAAGCCACTACACATACGATTGCTCACTGTGCTTCTCTTCATTATTTGCTTTAGGGGGGTTGCATGCCAAGTGCCCCTCTTAAAAGCAGTGATCGTGCCACCTGCTTTGATCTGGCCTCAGCTGCATAACACAGACTGAGCCCGAACCATACCTGAATCAAGTCACCAGAGGCGGCTTTCTCGAGGCCAAAACTTGTAGTTTACACTAAAGCTTACAGTGCAACATTGCACTACTGTACATATGCATATGTATTTTTTTTCTGTTTTGCTTATAATTTATGCTATTGAAGAGAACTACTGTACTGTGCAGTATTACTCTACCATAAGCACAAAGCAGATTGTGGCTTCACAAATCCCCTTTGTGCTACATTTTTTTAAAGAAACTGCAGCATAATTGTCTACAAATCACATGCAAGTTACAACAGGATTTAGTGCAAGAAATACTCTCCCACACCACACCCATCTTCATACTAGGCCTTCATTTGCATGTGTTGTTTTAGGACTGTCTTTTCCATGGTTGTGATTCTACTGTAATGACAAAAGCCGTCAAGAGTATTCAAAAATACCTTTGATTCAACTCTGACAGGCAAGGGTAGAAAGAATGCCAGCTATGCTTTCTAAGCCAGTAAATACACCAGGTTAATTATTTGACAAGGGAAAAAGGTATATCAGCAAGAGCACTGGCGTGCAACAGGATGAACCTACCAGTTAGACAGTCATTATCTGGCCACCTTTGGAGCAAAATCTACAAAATTTTAGATGACAGAGGGTTTAAAGTAACAGCATAGCCACTATATTAGGTACACTCATTCAACTAGGGCTGGGCCATATCATACCGTTCATGGTAATGCCGGTACAATGTTAGGCAACGATAAGAAAATAAAATATTGCGATAGAATATGGGTAAAACGTGCATGCGCAATGCTTTTGTTTTCATACGCACATGGCCGAAAAAGCATGGCGGCAACGGAGAATGAGAAAGGGGAAAGCGGATCGTTGAGTGAAACGGATGAACCAGAATTGGTTTGTAAAAATGCTGCAACTTCAGTGGTGTTTATGCAGAGCTACTGGTCCCATAGGCTCACCAAAATTGGACAGAAAAACCATGATAAGAAAACCTATGCCTGTTCTGATAAGTCGCAATTCCTACTGTGATTTAGATATTTGACTTTGTCAGAGACGATATGAAAGGATGGATCCATCCTACCTTGTATCAGTGGTTCAGGCTGCTGTTGGTGGTGTAATTGTGTGGGTGATCGTTTCTTGGCACAGTTTGTGGCCTTTAGTACCAACTGAGTGTAATTTATATGTCACAGCCTACCTAAGTATTGTTAATAGTACCTTTATAACCACAGTTTGCCCACATTCCAATGTGCAATGTCTGAAAGCTCAAATCCTCTCAAACTAGCATTTTGAGAATGACAATGAGTATATAAGGCTCCGAGCACTGTCAGCTTCAGCTCTAGTGAAGTGTGTCCAAGCCTTAGAACACTCCCTCACTAAGAGCAGGATCTCAGCTGGTTGTATCCCTGCCCCTCACTCACAGACTTCAGGAGAAAGAGCTCTCTTTTGAATTGTGAAGAGGGAAAGAAAGAAAAACCCCACCAAAGAAGGATGTCTTATTCTTAGAGCAAGTTAGAAACTGTGTCAGTGAGATAAAACACAAAAGATAACCCTTTGTATCAATATCACTTCACTTCTCCAACACAGAGGGCAGAATTGATATTGTTAGAGTATAGCAACACTTCAGTCTTGTTTAACTTAGAGGGCTTTTCAGGTTGTTACTTACGCCATCTGTCTCTACGACATCTACATTGCCGTTTGCATCATCATCCATCTGCTTATGGATATTACGGATAGCTTCAAAGGTGAGAAAGGCATTTTCATCCTTGCATAGTGGCTCATCAATGCGACAAAAATCTGGTGAAGAAACAGAAGTCATATCCACAAGTTGTTAAGTGACAAAGGTCCACGAATTCGTCGACTAATATTTAGTTTTTTCCTTATTCTACAATTACTAATTTACTTTTTACAATCACCAAAAATACCAAACAAACAAAAACAGACAAAAAAAGCACAACTGGGTAAAGAGTAGATGTAACTATGCACAGATAAACAAAAAACATTTATATAACATTAGAGGTTTTTGTAAAAAATAATGTCTAAGATGTTCTTTTTTGCGCTTAGCACTTCATTTGTAACACTGCAACACTGTGATGCAATAAAGGCTAATAGCTTTTAATCTTGTGTGCACTTTCCTGCAGAAAAGACAGAAAACCTTCTCAATGTCCCCTGCTGAATTGGCTTCCCCACAGCACTCTCTTTAGCAAAGATAACTGAACTGCAACATTCCTTGGCTGCATAGGAAGGCTTGTTTATATAAGGCCTTTCACTTACTGCGGGCTGTTACAAAGGCAGGTACTTTTGACTGTATCTGCTACACCTATGTGTAGACCAAAAACAGACCATTCACTGAACTGAATCGATGAGTGTAGAGGCATCATAATTTTAGATGTCATTGTCACTATTCTGTTTAATGTCAAGAAACTCAGGTTTGCTATTCTACAGGCTTTAGTATTGTATAAAAATATCCGTATGTAGGACTCTAATTATACAGAAATCAAAATGGACATCTCTTATGATGTCCCTGCGTGCCCACTGTTTTGCTGTGTCACTTTGCTTCCTGAGGGATTACTGATCCTCTGCTAGATATGAGATGATGACACCACTCCCATTAAGAGGAAAACATTTTTGCATGTGTGCAGCAATGGCAGATTTAAGAGTGTGTGTGCATTCCTTGATTGAATGCAGCACAGTTCAGGTAAACTTACAAGAACAGTACTCATGAAAGCTTCATATTCTATTGATTTCAAATCTATCTTCTAAATCTATCTTGTATGAACTATATGCAGCTCTGATCTCAGGTATATCTCAGACACTATTTTAACCAATGAAGGGAATGACTAATATTACAAAACAACAAGTTTAGAAAACATAAGTAAGATTAAGAAGCATATATTAAAGCAGTAAGCTTTGCTACACAATTGACTAAATTTTAACCACAAAAGGAAACGATGAAGAAAAGAGTTAAAAGGGAAGCACGCCTTGCCTGCATGCCAACAAGAAATAGTGGTCAAGACTTCCTTTCTGGGTCTGAACTTGGATTTTTTACAGCAACAACATACTCCTGGAGAAACATTTTTATGGAACTTTTTAATCACACTACAGATTACTGACAAAAACCTTGATTCTAGGTTGAAAACTGAGCAGTGTTGACTATCAGGCAAGGATTCTTCTTTTTGTTGTACCATCTTTCCCATAAAATGGTGTAGCAGTATGCAAACATAACCTCACTTCCCCTTTCATAAATGAGCTCATGCAGCTTCATCATTAATCAATGACACCCACATTGTTTTTTTTGTTTTTTTCTCAACTATAACAGACTGCAGGCATTTGGCTTGCATTGTGCCGGAGGTTACAGTGTAATGCCCCCTCCTACTGATCAACACATCATACCAATCCATGTTTTGTTAATTCCCAGAACTGGATGTTTTGACATGCAGGCTTAGCAATTAAGGACAGAGAACAGAGAGTAAAAATGTCACAGATTAATACCTGAAATAATTTCTGTCCATGATATTGTGTCTGTAAGCCTATAAAACTTTTTTAACTTGCAAAATGTACCTTATGGTCTACATGACAACACAAAAGATAGAAATAGGAAGGATAGTGTGGGTGAACTTCCGTGTAGTTATAAGTTCATTTGTGAGCATGCACGCTTTCAACTTTTAGCAAACTTGCAAAGCCACATACCACAAAGTGATTACTCACTTTCAACGTTAACACACTTTGCGTTAAACAAAAAAACAAAAAAACAAAAAAAAAAACAGTTATTCTAGTAAAAAGTCTACCACCTGTAACACTCTCAAACGCCAAACTTGGCCTTCTCTCTCTTTCTCATTTGGCTTGCAAACCTCCAGAGACACAAGATAAGATATTTGCATATATATATATATATATTATTTTTTTTTTAAAAAGAGCTCAGGTTACTCACGTCAATCTGTGAGCTTCCATTTAGATGAAGAATACACCCATAGCTTTTCCACCCCATAAATCCTTCTTCCACGGTCTCCCATGATAATTTAGAATACCAGTCAAGCTTTAAAAATCACTGTCACATCAAGAATAAATTATATGGCACACTGAAATTTTTAGGAGAAAAATACATTTGAAGTGCATCATCTCTACTGATGCGTGTAGACGATTTGGGCAGTTTCCCATTTCACTGCACTGTTCAATAATAAAAATGCAGAAATGATTAATTCAGTGGTACTGGTTTGCTATTCAAAAAAGTATAGAAACGATTTACAAGGTAAAAAAATAAAAATCCATTGTAATCCAATAAAAAAAAATCATTAAACTAGCGGACTTCTAAATAACAAGGTTATAATTGGCTGGTGCGCCTTTGTCTTTTGTGCTACAAGTAGTTGGAAAATAATTATTCTAATCTATTATTTACTGGAAATAAAATGCCTACATTCACCCAATAGTCATTCTTTCCACTAATGTTTTTTTTTTGATGAACTGCTTATTGTTTGACTCAGTGGCTAGATCGAAGTAGGAGGACAGGGCTTAATGGCAAATGCCAGCCAGACTATTCTCAGCATGGCTACATTTAGTGCCTGCACACAATCGCAATGTTGTGACACAGACTGCTGTCCTCAAACAGGCGGTATAGTGTGTGTCAAGAGGGATACAATTACATCTTTCACGGTTTGCTATAACAAATTATTGCCATGATTGATTACTCACCTCGCATTCCATTTTCAGCAAGCTGACTGTCCACCGGTGTAGGTGAACTTGGCTTTTCAGTCCAACTTTCTCCAACGAGACACAAACACAATATCCACAAGCTCAAGGATCTGTGGAGCTCCATGACTTGTGTACGCTGGAAATAAGATAAGAGTCCATCAAACACTCTGACAACTCTTGCATAACACATTCGGAGTGTAGTGGTGGTATATTACAACATATGACCGCTTTCCCAGGGACAGGGAACTATGTTAAGCAGCTTATAGCACACCAAGAAATGCTGTTACATAAAGCTCACTTGTCATGTGTGACTCTTCTTCCTGAATGAGCCATCGAACAGTCATTAGCTTACTAATACCTGGTTGTAGCTAAGGTAACCTTTAAGCCATTACTATGCTGGTTTAGTTGGTATGTGGCCTTTTTATCCCTATAATTCCTCAAAATATCACTTCAGGAAGAGAAGTAAAAAGATTATGAGAAAGTGACAGAAGTCTGGTCCGTCTCGTAGTTTGATGTCTAAAAAGGGCTTGGCGTGCTAGCTAGCTAGCTAGCTCGACATCTCCGTTAACTCGACAATTGGGTGTAATAGCCTCCAATGGAAAAATAACAGTCTAACCCGCCTCATATAGACGCTTCTATAGTTTTCAGATGGAGGTGTTTATTTCACTGTCGACTTGCTGCATTTTCTACAGGCGCACATTAGCGACTGCTGACGTTTAGCTAACCACAAGAGAGAGCGCTACCGACGAGGGATTGTAGTTTTTAATCTACGCTGGATGCTACTACAGGCACACCACAACACAGGATAAAGTTACCTGTCATGTATTGGAGCAAGCAGGTCTGTCTTTTCAGCTCTCTGTTAACATCGCAAGAGACGACTGGTCCCGCGTAGCTTAAGCACGGCGAACTCCACCTCCTGTGAGAGGTCTCGCTCTTCCACCGACCGAGAGACCGAACCGAAAAAGCTGCAGAATGTGGACAGACGTGAACTGTCTTCCTCTACAGTGCAAAGGCACTAGTACTCCCTCCTCCTCCGTATAGTCATCATCGGCTAATGTCGCCCCCTAGCGTTTGGAGTATAGGCTATACTTGATCCAAGCGTCCAAGCTGAAGAGAGACATTAAGACATCGAGTATTTTTGCAATAATGAGGAAAAAAAATATTAGTCTCTTTATCACCTTTTTTTTTTTTACTATAATAGAATATTATACAACATTTAAATCAGAATCAGAATCAGGATACTTTATTGATCCCTGGGGGAAATTATTTTTTGTTACAGTGCTCCATTATAAACCAACATTAAGACAAGACAGACAATACACTAACTAAGAATAGTACAATATATACATATACATACATACATACATACATAAGTCACTCATAAATAAATAGCTGAAAAAGAAACATGTGTAGTTGTAGCAGCAAACAGTGTGTTAAGTGGATGCGTTGTACAGGGAGATGGCCACAGGCAGGAAAGATTTCCTGTGTCGTTCAGTGGTGCTTTTCGGTAATCTCAGTCTCTCACTGAATGAGCTCCTGTGACTGACCAGCATGTCATGGAGTGGGTGGGAGGTGTTATCCAACATTGTCTTTATCTTGGATAGCATCCGCCTCTCCGACACCACCTTGAGGGAGTCCAGCTCCATCCCCACAACATTGCTGGCCTTACGGATTAGTTTATTAAGTCTGTTGGCATCTGCGACCCTCAGCCTGCTCCCCCAGCATGCAACAGCATACAGGATCGCACTGGCCACAACAGACTCATAGAAAATCCTGAGCATTTTCTGGCAGATGTTGAAGGACCTCAGTCGCCTCAAAAAATAGAGACGACTCTGGCCCTTCCTGTAAAGTGCTGTGGTGTTTTTAGCCCAGTCCAGTTTATTGTCAATGTGTACTCCAAGGTATTTATAGTCCTCCACAATGTCAACACTGACCCCCTGGATTGAAACAGGGGTCAAGTGTTTCCTGGTCTTCCTGAAGTCCACGATCAGTTCCTTGGTCTTTGCCACGTTGAGCTGCAGATGATTCTGCTCACACCACGTGACAAAGGAGTCGACCACAGCCCGGTACTCTGTCTCATCATCCCTGTTGATGCATCCAACCACCGCAGAGTCATCAGAAAACTTCTGAAGATGGCAGGTCTCTGTGCAGTGGCTGAAGTCTGTGGTGTAGAGGGTGAAGAGGAAGGGGGAGAGGACAGTCCCCTGTGGTGCCCCTGTGTTGCTGATCACCTTGTCAGACACACACTGTGGGAAACGTACATATTGTGGTCTTCCTGTCAGGTAATCAACAATCCAGGACACCAGAGAAGCATCCACCTGCATCGCTGCTAACTTATCACCCAGGAGGGTCGGCCTGATGGTGTTGAAAGCACTGGAAAAGTCAAAAAACATGACCCTCACAGTGCTCGCCGGCTGATTAAAACAAAAACTCTGACTTTTTCAATCTCTGCTCTTTGTAGAGTTACACAGCTGAATTCAATAAGCTATAACCAGATTTTACACAAGCCGTCATGGCTGATGGAGTCCATCCCAGATACCATGAGATGAGAGGTGGGGTTCACCCTGGACAGGTCGTCAGTCTTGACAACAGCAAGGTCAAGGCGATGGCACTTTCCCCTGCTTTCAAAAAAAGCTTAATATTCATTCATTCATTCATTCATTCATTTCAGGCACAACAAAATAAATATATTGAACATAAAGTGCACAAAACAAAAAATATTTCAAGGACAAAAGATCTGGGCCCGTATCCCTAAAGATTCTGAGAATCCTCTCAGAGAGCTCCTAACTTAGCCTAAAAATTCCTTGCCAGGAGTTTTAGCTTCGAAGTGATTCCAGAACATTTTCATTGAACTCTGAGCAAGGAATGGTTGGGAAATCCTATCTTAGTGAGGAGGTGTGGTTGACCCCGTTGCTAGGTATGAGTCATCATTTCAAAAGCCGTGATTGGTTGATCCTACAAGTTTGATGGAAATGAGCTTTTGGTGATAATGAGCAAAGGATGTACCCTCAAATCAATAAACATAATTATACACTCTAATCTTATGCTGACTGTAATTGTAAATAATATTTCACATTCAAGAAAATATCTGGAAAATGAATAGTAAGCTGTAGGGGTTATAGCCTAACATTAGAATCTAAAATATGTGAAAACTTAAACTCATTACACCCTGTTCAAATAATGATTCGTGTCTTATTTGCTCATATTAATATCCTAGCTGGCATATTTTGTACTTTCACTCCCATATGGACCCCATTGAAAACAAGATGGCCTATCTCAAGGGGCTGTCCTTAATGAAGTGGAAATCACAACGTTACAAGTCCAGTGTGGTCTTAACGAGGGTAACACAGCTCAGTTTTTATCAATGTCTGTGATTGCTGGCTGGTCTATTTATAAAGGCTTGTTAACAAATATCCTACAAACACAGAAAATGGAGGGAAAAAAAAGGACTCGCAAGCCGAACTGGACTGAGGAGCAAGGTTTGTTGCTGGCCCAGTTGGTGAACAAACATAAAGGTATGTTACGAGGAAAATTTGGCCCAACTGTCACTAGCCAAGGCAAGAGGCGCGCCTGGGACACAATATCAGGATAGCCCAGCGGATCAAACACCATTCCCATCTGCAGCACCTGCTCCGTCAGCACCCCTGCAGGAGAGCAGATTGCAACTCACAATTGATGTGTTTGAAAAACAAAAAGAAGTCCTTTCCCTTCAGGAGGAGTACTACCACCTTAAAATTGAACACCTAAAAAATAAACCATTTACAGATTGTGTTCTGTGTCTTGCATTTAACAATTGCAGGTGATGTGCAGTAAAACTGTGGTAGTTCTTAATACCATCACAAGTTCTCAAAAGACATGGGGCTACAGCTTGCCTGAAATGTAAATTTGTGAAGTTTGCCCTGTAAGGCAGTCCACTCTGGGCTAGGTTCCCCTGTGGAATGTAAATATCTTCTTCACCACCATCCTCATCGTTGTCCTCATCCTCATCGCCATCCTCCAGAGGTTCTGCAATCTGTCTAACCTTGCAAATATTGTGTAATATTGCACAGGCTATGATGACTTTGCTGACTTTTTCAGGCCTCAGACGCACCTCTGCGTGGAGAACATGAAAGCGCCTCTTAAGCTGGCCTATGCCACGCTCCACCACCGCTCTTGTTGTCTTGTGGGCCCTACAATAGAATACAGAGACCTTTAATTATTTGATGGAAATATTGCACTACTTGGATGCTCTAACATATTGCTTGCATTTCATTTCCATGATTTTTGTATTGTTTGGCTTACCTGTTATAGTTTAGTTGGGGCCCTTGGCATGGCTGGAGGTAAGGTGTAAGGAGCCATGGTTTGCATGGGTAGCCACTGTCCCCTAACAAGTGGCAATTAGCTGGCACATAGCGTCTCTCAAAAAGCTGTCTGATGCCACTCTCGGAGAGCATTCTCGCATCATGTGTGCAGCCTGGCCATTTAGCCACCATGTCCAAAATCTTACAGGCCGCATTGACGACTATTTGCACATTGATGCTGTGGAAATTCCTCCCGTTAACAAAGACAGCCTCGTCCTCTGATGGCGCAATTATTCTCACATGTGTTCCATCAATTACACCCACAACGCCAGGGAATCCTGCAATGTCCATAAATGCCCTTTTATGTGTGTGTAAAGTGCGGGCATCCAGCGGGAATGAAACAAATTGTGTCACAATATTAGGTTGTGACAAAGCTGTCAGTGTTTGGGTGATGACTGCTGACGGAGGATTGGGACAGACCCAAGTCATCACTGCTGTATTGTTGCATTTTCCCAGTTGCCAAATACCTCAGGGTTGTGATTACTTTCGTCTCCGGTGTAATAGCGTTGTGGCGTCGAGTTGGTGAAGTAATTGCATCTCTAAGGAGATCCACCACAAACATGATTCCTGCACGATCCAATCTGTAGCGTCTCAATAATTCCCAGTCATCCAGTGTTTGCAGGACATCTCTCCTGCCTCTTCTGTTGGCCATTTTGTGCAGCTGCTTAGGGGAACTCCTAAGCCACTAAAAGTCCTCTTCCCTGCTCTTAGCAGATCTCGCCTTAGGAGCCCTTTTAAGCGCTAGGAATCTTGAGGAATAGCTTTTATATTAACTGGGATTGTCGTGTCACTTTTAGGGGAAATTCTAAGAAAACGTCATGACTCTGAGAATTTTCTTAGAATTTGGCCGCTAGGAGCCACTTTTTGCACAAAGATTCTTTAGGGATACGGGCCCTGATGTCTCAACAGGACCTGGAAAAACTAGTCCATGCATTCATCTTTAGTAGGCTTGATTACTCTAATAGGATCTTTACAAGTCTACCTAAAAAATCAGTCAGACATCTACAGCTCATTCAGAACTCTGCTGCTCGGGTCCTCACTAAGACCAAAAAAGTGGACCACATCAGTCCAGCTCTGAGGTCTTTACACTGGCTGCCTGTCCGTCAGAGGATAGACTTTAAAGTTCTGATGCTGGTCTATAAAGCTCTGAATGGTTTAGGACCAAAATACATCAGTGACCTCCTGACCCAGTATGAACCTTCCAGATCCCTCAGGTCATCTGGATCCGGTCTTTTATCAGTTCCCAGAGTCAGAACCAGACACGGAGAAGCTGCATTCAGCTTTTATGCTCCTTATATCTGGAACAAACTCCCAGAAAGCCTCAGATCAACTGAAACACTCAGTTTATTTAAATCCAGGTTGAAGACTCTCCTATTCTCAGCTGCATTTCAATAAAACACCAAATCCACACTGTTAAGCTACATTTCAAAACTTACATTTTAACTACTGATTTTATCAAGGCAAGGCAAGGCAAGGCAAGGCAAGGCAAGGCAAGGCAAGTTTATTTGTATAGCACAATTCAACAACAAGGTGATTCAAAGTGCTTTACAGAGACATTAGAAACAAGAACAAATAAAAGGCATGATTTAAAATTGATTAAAACAAGCAAATAAACTAACTAACAAACAAACAAACAAACAAACAAACAAACAAACAAACAAACAAACAAACAAACAAAC